TGTTATTCAAATATTGAAAATGGGAAATGATCCCACGGGCATCACTGATACCGACTTCTTTCCACATTCCAATTACTCGAAAAGCTGCGCAATTGGACGATATGACCTAGTGCCCTGGTACTATTTTTTTTGAAAGAGCTCTCTTTTATCAGGTATGAGAATTGTTTTGCGCTCGCAGATGTAATGCCATCGCAGTAACATTTATCATTCACAACTGAAAAACTCAATAGGTAGTTCGTTCATAAATACATGAGGAGAAGTATTTGGTGATACATAAACCTTGCAGTTTGTACTAAAAACGTGCTCGCATGAGATATTGAAAATTGGTACCTCTATGTATGTACGGCTTGATGTAATAGAGATACCATCTGTACTAGGGAGTTGCATTTTTACTTTGATATTAATTTAATGCTCGCCACACCACCTCCTCCTTGTGGCGACGTCGACGAATAGGTGCAGCCCTACCTTCATCTCCCAGTGGGTCACATGGGCCTTGTATAAGGTAAAGGAGATAAAAGATAAAGGAATCCCTGTGCAATTGCATAATTAACTTTTACCTATTAATTTAATGTGACAAACCAATTGACAAACCAACAGACGTACAATACTAGAGATCTTGAAGAACAATACTTGAACTATGAAGTGGGACGTTTACGAACATTTAGGAAGGATACTTTACGTTCAGGAGCCAATACTACTGAACCATTTAAAACAAGATAGCTGTGTAGCAGAGCAGTATGATTTAGAAGGGATCAAAGTGTACAAGATAGTATTATTCGTCTACGACTCTTTCGATTTTCAGAGGAGTCGAGCATTGTAACCTTCATCAGTGGAATTAGCAGAGTTCAAGTATCTAAATATGTGAGATGTCAACAGACATCTGCAACCTACCCTTTCGTTAAAAAAACAACAACTCTAGTTTGTGAGTGCATGAAATAAAAAAAATAGTCCTATTTCGAATTCACCACGCAGTTTTCATAAAGAAATATTAGTTCCATGAAAAAATGTGCATTTCGTATTTTATTATTGATGATAAATTAATAAACTTAATATTACACGCAAACGAGACATAAATGATTTTTACACCCACTGCACACGAAAATCCTCAACGGGTGACTAAGGAACAACACACAAGATACGGTTCGTGCTTACAGAAACTCACTGCTGCCTAAACCTGAATTTGTTATTCACACGCAAACCTCTGTATTTGGTAGGCACACGAGAAGCCTGCAGAATGAGGACAAAACGTCATCACGCACGAAAAACCCTTCCTCGGCTCCCAGATGAGATCGCGTTTCGCAATGCACTACTGGTATTAACCGCAAAAACAAGGCGTGAATTCCTAGGAGCGGCACAAACACTCAGAAATATCCTTGTTCAGTACTCTCGCTCACAAACCAAACTGTGAAGCAAACAATAGAAACTCTACTTGCGCTTCAGGCAGTTAGTTAGGGGTGGATTCAGCCGAACATAGGCGCATCGTAGTTATTTGTAAATTAATAAAACTTTTTTCATCATATTTTATATTATTTATGTACTGTAAATATGAAACTATACAATATTATTGATTAAATAATTACATAATTCGAACATAAATAAATATTTAAATGGATTTTGCCAAATAAAGGATGGTAAACGAAAACTCTAGGCCCGCCAGTGCAGTTAGTGAGGAACGAACGACAAGGTAGAGATAAACAGCCGTCATAAAGTGGGGTTACGCCACTCGAATGTCTCAAATTAAAAAGTTCTTGTTTTTATCCTAGTGGACAATACAACAATCCTTGAAATAGTTACCACATCTAATAGCCACAAACAACGTTCACAAATATGAATAGTAATTTTGTGCGTGATAAAACACGTAACGTCACCCTTTAGCACCAACACAAAAAAAAAATCGAAAATATTTCCCTCTCAAGCAGCTTTCCTCGAGACAACGCCTTCTTCACCCTAGGGGCTCTAATTGCCCGGGGCGACATTTGAACGATGCTGGCGGCGACCTTCAGGCGTGGCGCCGCGCCGGGGCGGAGGCGACAGCGAATGCGGCGGGGGCGGTGACGGCGGAAGCAGCGGCGAGTCTGCCTACCCCGCTGCATCCATTACCGCTGTTGGTGAGGGGGCGTGGCAGCGGTGTAAGGAAGGGAAGAGGCGGGATCGCTGAAGATTGGTGGTGGTGGTGGTGGTGGT